AAAACATCAGTTAACCAATCGATCAATCAATCAGTCAACCAATGAATACATAACCTTCCAACCGCAAAAGAGCCAAGGGTACTCTTACAGTGGACAGACCGGAGGGTCAGCACTCAAACCAAGTGGTCCAACTGAGCATCATCCATAATGGGACAAAATGACATCATGACCAGAGGAAGGTGGCATGGGACAGACACGGCATCACCCACAGAGTTTTCCTGCTGAAAATGTTCAATCTGGATCTAAGCATGAGTCCAGAGCGTGGGTCATTTTGCACAGGACAACTGAGCTGGAAGTTTTCAAAAATCCAAAGTCCTACAAGTCCAAAAAAGGCAGAGCTGTCCTAGATTTCAAAAGATTAAAGAGAGGACTGTAAAATGTAATGTGTGGGGGCACCTGGGTGGCTCAGTGGGTTAAGCCTCTGCCTTCGGTTCAGGTCATGATCTCAGGGTCCTGGGATCGAGCCCCGCATCGGGTTCTCTGCTCGGCAGTGAGCCTGCTTTCCCCTCTCTCTGCCTGCCTCTCTGTCTACTTGTGCTCTCTCTCTCTCTCTGTCAAATAAATAAATAAATAAAATCTTTAAAAAAAAAAAATGTAATGTGTGGGCCATGACTGAATCCTGGGTTGTATGGAAAAGAGGTCTATAAAATATATTTTGACATTGTTGGAGAAATTTGAAAACAAGCAGTATCTTAGATGACATTATGAAATTATTAAGAATTTTCTTAATGTGGAGCGCCTGGGTGGCTCAGTCAGTTAAGGATCTGCCTTCTGCTCAGGTCATGACCGGGGTCCTGGGATAGAGCCCCGCATCTGGCTGTCTGCTTGGCAGGGAGCCTGCTTCTCCCTTTGCCTGCCACTCCCCCTGCTTGTGCTCTGTCAAATATATAAATAAAATCTTTAAAAAAAAAAAAGAACTTTCTTAGTATATGATGGTTTTTGGATTGTGTAGGAGAAGGTTCTTATTCTTAGAAGACATACACTTAAGTTTGTAAGGGTAAAGTGCTATGACATCTGCAAATTACTTTCAAATGATTCAGTGAAAAAAATCTGCGTACGTATGGAGACAGAGATAGAGACATAAAGCGTAGGGGTTACATGTTTGTGCCCCCCCCAACCCAGGACATATGTTGAAGCCCTAACCCCCAGTGTGATGGTATTTGGAGGTGGGGCCTCTGGGAGGTAATTCAGTTTAGATGAGGTCATGAGGGCAGGGGCCCCTGAACGGGATTGGTGTCCTTATAAGAAGAGAAAGAGGGGCGCTCGGTGGCTCAGTTGTTAAGCATCTGCCTTCAGCTCAGGTCATGATCCCGGGTTCCTGGGATGGAGCCCCACATCAGGCCCCCTTTTCAGAGGGAAGCCTGCCTCTCCCTATCCCGCTCCCCCTGCTTGTGTTCCCTCTCTCACTGTGACTCTCCCTGTCAAATAAATAAATAAATAAAATCTTAAAAAAAAAAAAGAAGAAGAAGAAAAGAAAAACCAGGGCTTTCTTTCCTGCCTCTCTCTCCGCCATATGAGCACACCGTGAGAAGGCAGCTGTCTACAAACCAGGAAGCAGGACCTCACCAGGAACGGAATCTGTTAGTGTCTTGATCTTGGATTTCCCAGACTCCAGAATGGTGAAAAAATAAATTCCTGCTGAGCCCGCAGATCCAAGATCTCTGAAGGGCACACACATGGCACGATGGGAACAAGCAGTGACTCTAGTAGGGGCATCTGGGTGTTCACTGCATAGTTTTTTCTATTTTTTGGTAGGTTTGACAATTTTCCAAATAAGATGTTGGGGAGAAATACATGCAAAAAAAAAAAAATTGAGTACATAAAGAAAATATACCACAATGTAAAAAAGTGCGATGATTTCTGGCCACTAGGTTTTATGATGGTCTTGATGTTTAAATTTTCTCCTCTGAATACTGGGGACTTGCTCAGTTAAATAAGAGAGGAAAACCCAGAATGCACACATGATCAGATTGAGCAGTTGTCATTTCCAGGAATTATTCTTAAGAAACTCACAATGGGATGCACGAAGATTTAGCCCAGGGCCCCTGAGGCCCAGCATGGCTCTCTAGGGAGGTCCTTTCCTGTTAATTACTGGGGTGGTGCCCTCCAGGGCAAGGAGAGGCTGTGCCAGTGTGTGGTGTGTGAGAGCTCCATTGTCTAAGTTTAAAGCTTGAGACCCAAGGTGTGTGGCTGGCTCAGTCCGTGGAGCAGGTGACTCTTGATCTCCGGGTCGTGAGTCTGAGCCACACATTGGGCGGGGAGAGGACTCAAAAAATTAAACACACACACACACACACACACACACATAAAAATAAACCTCAATTGGGGCGCCTGTGTGGCTCAGTTGGTTGAGCGACTGTCTTCGGCTCAGGTCATGATCCTGGAGTCCCGGGATCGAGTCCCACATCGGGCTCCCTGCTCGGCAGGGAGTCTGCTTCTCCCGCGGACCTCTCTCCTCTCATGCTCTCTCTTTCTCTCTAAAATAAATAAATAAAATCTTTAAAAAAAAAAAAAAACCAAACCTCAAGACTCATGGGCAGTTGGGGGGCAGGGGGTAAATCCTCAGGTGCCTTGTCCACTGTCTCCTGTAAGATTAAGCACCAGATGCCCACAGAATTAACCCGCTCACTAACACAGCTTCCTTCCTCTCTTCTCCCACTTTCCTCCAAAAGACCATCTTCTATCTCCCCCTCAAACAGTCAAAGGATAGCAGTAATCCATTCTCCCTATAATTACTTTCTGAAGAGGGGACTAAGGGGCGCGATGTGTAGCAAAAAAATAAAAAAATAATAAAATAACTCGATTGTTTAAAAGGTGCTGAGTTCCTGTTTGGAATGATGAAAAAGTTCTGCACAAAGAGAGTGGCTGGTGATGGTTAGATGACATTGGGCGTGTATTCAATGCCACTGAATTGTATACTTAAAATGGCTAGAATGATTCCTGATGTGTTATGTACATATTGTCAATTTAAGAAGAAAAGAGAGGGGCACCTGGGTGGCTCAGTGGGTTAAGCCTCTGCCTTTGGCTCAGGTCATGATCTCGGGGTCCTGGGATCGAGCCCGCATGGGGTTTTCTGCTCAGCCGGCACCTTGCTTTCCCCTCTCTCTCTGCCTGCTGCTCTGCCTGCTTGTGATCTCTCTCTCTCTGTCAAATGAATAAATAAAAATCTTTTAAAAAATAAAAAAGAAAAGATACTTTGGTAAAGAGAAATGAGCCTGGGTACTGCTCTTGCTCACCCCAACTGCTCAACAAGCACAGTGTACTGCCATTCTGGCACCAATCACCCGGAGCTCGAGCAGACTCCACGGGGTGAAGGCTCCGTCCCCCAGGACACCTCCCACTCCAGGTAGCAGGCAAGTGGGGTTCCCAAGTGACAAATGAGGGGGCTCCCACAAGCCCCCTCAGGCCCCAAACTTTACTGGAACCACTCACAGAATGCTCCGGAAACATTCTACCTACAATTACAGCAGGTAAAGGGTAGGAGGGACTGTGGCTGGCTTCCTCATCATCTTATGCTAGGTCTTTCCACCAGCCCCACCCAGATTCAGCTTGGTAGCATAACAAAGATATACTTATCACTTATGAATTTAACAAAAGCTTCTGAAGCTTTATAAGAACAGGTAAATCTGGGGGCGCCTGGGTGGCTCACTGGGTTAAAGCCTCTGCCTTCAGCTCATGTCATGATCCCAGGGTCCTGGGATCGAGCCCCACATCAGGCTCTCTGCTCAGCAGGGAGCCTGCTTCCCTTTCTCTCTCTCTGGCTGCCTCTCTGCCTACCTGTGATCATTGTCTGTCAAATAAATAAATAAAATCTTTAAAAAAAAAATCTGGTTAGCAGATATCTTCTTTATCACCCTGCAAAGACTAAGGGAGGTACTCAGCAGACATCTTCCCACACACACACACAAGCCGTGGCTCCCCCACTATGCACCAACCAGGGGCTGCCCGGTGCAGGCCAGAGCTCTGGAGTGGCATCTGCTGGGAGTCCCGACTCCTCATCTTCCTGGGTAAGGGCCTCCCATCACCTGCCTCTTCCCGACAGAGCCCCCACCTTCACGTCCACCCCCCCTTCTCTCTCTCATAGCTCTCTTCCTCCTGCTGCTCCCATCCCTGCACGGAAGGCTCCATCCCCTCAGAGGTGAGCACACGGTGTCGGGGACAGGGAGGTCTGACCCCTCTGGGGTGGCAGAGGATGGGAGGGTTTTCTGGGGAACATCTAAGAGGCAAACATGAAATATCAGCCAGTTCAACTGAGACACAGAGTGGTGAGCTGAACCTCATTTTCTGGAGGGGCTGGGAGCCCCAGGCAGGGACAGAAGGGCTCTGGTCCCTGCAGAAGCACAGGCTGTGGTCTCTGGAGGGGTCCCTGCCGGGCTGGCTTTGCGTGGGTGAGTCAGGGGAACAGCAGGGTCTGAAGGTTGGGGCTCTCACAAACCGGGATTGTGCCAAGTTCAGACACAAACCATAAAGGCAGAAGGGGCTGGCCCTAGGACAGAGCTGCCATTTGGGATCCCGTCCTTGGCCCCCAGGGGCCTGGACTATGAAGGCAGCTGGTACTGGGTGGGGCACAGAAAGGAAGGGCAAGGGAGTTGCCTACCTTCTACCAGGTGCCCCTGCCCTGCTGCAGTGCAAGCCTTGGGGCTGAGCTCTGACCTGCCTCCTACTGCTCCCCACTTTGGGTTCTGGGGTAGCCCTGGTGAGGATCCCTCCTCGGGCTGCATGTGGCGGCTGGGGGCAGGGCGTGCTTCTCGGGTGGGAGCAGAAATGGTATGTCTTCGGGGCTCAGAGAGAGAAGGGGAGTGTTGGGCTGAGTCAGGAGCCAAAGTCAAGAGGCCCGTCCCACTAGGGGCCCAGCTGGTGAAGCTTTTCTATGAAAACTCCTGTAGTTCAACCCCACTTGGCGCCTTAAAAGGAGAGGGGGGAAAAAAATGGGGGCAAGGGCAAGAAGGAGCAGGAGAAGGGAGAAGGGCAGAGGCTGAGCCGTGTGTGGCCCCCAGGGGAGGTGCTCATGACCAGAAGGGAGCAGTGGCTGCTCTGTGGCACTGTGGTCCTGGACCCCAAGGACTTCAAGTGGAGCTGCTGCAGAGACTTCTACCCCTTCCACCGCCCCACGCAGAGGTGCTGCCAGACCTGGGACAAGTTCATCGTCATCCACGGACCCCCAGAAGTCCGAGGCTGAGGACTGCAGGACGTACACCCAGGAAACCCCAGGTAGGTCCTACCCTGCTGACAGGTCTAGAGGGGTGTGTCCTATCTGTTTGCAAGTCAACAGGGCAGCCCTTCTGGTGTTCTGCCCTCTCCTGACCCCTTCCCCTCCCCACCACCAGGTCCCAGATTGCCAAGCGTGTGATGGGAAGTCCCCTGGGTGTCCCGCAAGAATGTCTGACTCCACAAGTAGGTAGGAAAGGGTGTGTGGGCAAAGCAGAGAGGCTCATCTGGTTGTAGGAAGTCATGGCCAAGTGGAAATCACCTGGTGGCCACCATCCAGCAGCCATGCCCCTGCTGCCCCTTCAAGGGTCTCTCAGGGGTACTTCAAGGTCAAGGGAAACCCTGTCTCTAAACTTGGACTGGTCATGACCAGGGTGTCTGGGTTTCTCTTCTCTACATGTTGCAGAGTAACAGGAAAACCAGTGCGCAGACCCGTGCGCATTCTCGCGTGCAGATACCCGGACGCTGCAACATGTAAACAAAGGGTGCATATCATGAATGGGTTTCGATAAGCAGATTCTACTGTTATTTGCCCGTTTCTCCTGGATCCTGTGTCACCAATAAAGACCGCACCCTTTGCTCAGTGTCATTCTCAGCTGGCTTGCTGCACGTGGGGGGACCAACTCTCGCTGGCTCCCAGTAACTGGCTGGGCTCCAACACTCAACGCAAACGGGACGGGGAGGTTCTGCCCCAGAGCAGCTGGCATTGGGGTGCCTGGTCTCAGGCTCCCCACAAAAGACCGCTGGGGCTATGACACTTCCCTAAGTCCCACCCCTTCCATTCTTGCCCGCCCTTGTCTGCTCCCAGGAGGCCGAGTGCTTGGGAAGGCATCATCGCGAACCGTCCTCTGTATGCCGGGGAGGTTTGGGCAGCGCCCACAAGACAGGAGGGGGATGGGAGAAGGTATTGGTAGGGCCCATCTCTCCTGTTCTCCCACAGGGCCAGAGCGGCAGGCTGTGCCCTTGACCTGAGGTTGCCATTCTGGCCGTTTATCACTCCTGGGGCTCTGCCGAGATCTCGGGATGGTTCTCAGCTTTGCTGTGCCCGCTCCCTGGGTGCCTCAGCATCCTTCCCTGGATCCCTTCACCGACACCTGCATCCTGTACTGAAATCTCTTCCCTCTCCTCTGAGACTGTTTACCGTCACTTAGAAGACAGACACAGAACACTTGACAGAATGATTCTCACTTTGTACATGCACGCATATCTATCAAAATCTATACAGTGCATAATTTTTTCTCTGCAGACACAGTGCAGGCACACATGCACGTGCAGAGGACATGAAACACAGCTAGAAGTGAACACTGATCATCTCTGGATAGTAGGATCACAGATGATTTTTATCCTTCCATTTTATGCTTTTCATTGTTGCTGAGTTTTCCTAGGGAGCCTGCTGTGCATTGAGATATGTAGAAAATAATGATTAAAAAACAAAGAAATGAACCAAATGGAATTCATTTCTGGACAGAGCAGTGTTCACAGGTGTCCGGTCACGCGAAGCCTCCTTTCCCCGCATGCCCTCCTCTCCGTGGCCCAGAGCCTGTGTAAGCTGCTTACCGACCTCTCAGTCCTGTCCCGCTAGGCTGCACACTCTATGCTCAGGGAGGGGAACATTAAAAAAAACAATGTTTTTATGAATTTCCTTCCCACTGGCATCTCTGGGCCTTTGCATGTGCTGTTCTCTCTGCATCTGGCCTACCCTGGACTTCACCCCATGCACCTTTTCGCTTTGTTGATTTCATTCTGTATCCTTACACTGGAATCAACATGAGTATCAGTTTTTCTGAGTCCTGTGAGTCCTAGCAAATCATTGGGGGACCCCCAACACAAAGAGAGTCAAAGAGTCAAAGATGTGGTTCTTATAAGATCCTTCACACAGGACCTGCAACCCAATAAATGTGAAATCTAGGGCAGTCACTGGGGCTCCTGGGTGGCTCAGTGGGTTAAGCCTCTGCCTTCAGCTCGGGTCGTGATCTCAGGGTCCTGGGATCGAGCCCTGCATTGGACTCTCTGCCCGGCAGGGAGCCTGCTTCCCCCTCTGTCTCTCTCAAATAAATAAATAAAATCTTTTAAAAAAAAATCTAGGACAGTCATTTCCTCTTCCTCAGCGTCCTCTTCTGTAAAATGGGGGGGGGGGTCATAATCGCCCTGTACTCTTTGGATGGGGATGTTTATAATTTGGGGTGAAGAAGCTCTTCTCAAACAAGGGAGGAAAAGTAAGAGCCATAAAAGAAAAGATGAGAAAATCTGGCTTATCAAAATAAAACAAAAACAAAATCTGTAGACCAAAAGACACCCTAAACAAGCATTAAGGACAAGTCAAGCGGGCATTCGTCACAGGAACTAGAGTATCCAATCAACAGCTGAACATATGCCAAACCTGCTTGGGGTCATCAGAGAAGCACAGACAGAGTCCCCCACACTAAGTGTCTTACCGCACGGCTCCAATGAGAGGTTTGCCAGAAAGCCTCCCCATCTCAAACACAGCGTGCAGATTCTATGAAGGGCACATCAGATCACTAAGAGAGAGAATGGGCAGCCTACAGAAGGTGCGTGTGGGATGCTGGAGGACGGCCCCCCAACACGTCCGCCCCCGCAATGCCTGGAACCTCTGAGTCTTCCATACGGCCAAAGGGACTTCATGGATGTGATGAAGTGAATTAAGGATTTGCAATGGGGAGATTATCCTGGATTACCCAGGTGGGCCCTAATCCCAATGACAAGTGTCTTCATAAAAGGTGGGAGAGAAGCCACAGAATCAGAGCAGAAAGCCACGTGTGAGGATGGAGGCAGAGATGGGAGGGACATGGCCATGAGCGCAGGAGTGCCGGGGGCCACCAGCAACTGGCAGAGGCAAGGAGGGAGGGAGGACAGGACACCTGGGTGGCTCAGTCAGTTAAGCATCTGCCTTCAGCTCTGGTCATGATCTCAGGATCCTGGGATCGAGCCTCGTGTCCACTTTTAGCATGGAGTCTGCTTGTCCCTCTCCCTCTGCTCCTCCCTCTCCCCTCTCTCTTTCTCTCAAATAAATAAATAAAATTTAAAAAAAAAAACAAAAAACCCTGGCGTTTTTCCCAAAGGGTAAACACTCGGAACACCTCGGGGGCTCAGTCAGTTGGAAGACTGCCTTTGGCTCACATCATGATCTCAGGGTCCTGGGATCGAACCCTACATCAGGCTCCCTGCTCCGCTGGGGGTCTTCTTCTCCCTCTCCCTCTGCTGCTCCCCCTGCGCATGTTCACTCATGCTCAAGTTCTAATAAATAAATAAATAAAATCCTTTTTTTTAAAAGATTTTATTTATTTATTTGACAGACAGAGATCACAAGTAGACAGAGAGGCAGGCAGAGAGAGGAGGAAGCAGGCTCCCTGCCGAGCAGAGAGCCCGACGCGAGGCTCCATCCCAGGACCCCGGGATCATGACCTGAGCTAAAGGCAGAGGCTTTAACCCATTGAGCCACCCAGGTGCCCCCATAAATAAAATCTTAAAAAAAAAAAAAAGGGTAAACACTCTTGACCTATGACTCACTCCTAGATATACCCAAGCGCAATGCCCACCAAAGCCTTGTGCCAGGTCAGTCCTAGCAGCTTTGCTCATAACAGAGACAAGCCGGTAAGTACAGTGTGTTTTAGTTGACAACGGAATACCGCACGGCAACAAAAAAGAACAGAGGATTACAACACAGAACAGCGCAGATGTATCTCTTAGATACTATGTGGAACAAAAGAAGTCAGATCCAAAAAAAGAACATTCCATACCAGTCCACCAGATACAAAGTTCAGGAACAGGCAAAACCGATCAACAGTGACAGATTCCAGAAGAGTGGCTCCAGCTGGGAGGGGGTGTTGCCAGGGAGGCAGCAGAAGGGAGCGTTCCTGGAAACCTCCCGTTTCCATCTGGGTGCTGGTTACTATGTATATCCATGTGTGTAAGAATTCACAGAGACATATACCAGTGCGGCTTATATACTTTACCATATGTTTATTTTTTTTTTTTCAACTAAAACCATAATTAGGAGAAAAGAGAAATATCCAATAAGGAAAATGACCCGAGGATAGAAACAGAGCTCTGACAATCTAGAATAAATAAGCTGCTCAGTAAAATGTACCCAGCAAAGGTAGAATTACTCTTTCAGTATATACTACTTAAATGCACTGGCGAAATACACATGTCTATAGTTGAGAAATTACTTTTTCTCCCAGGCAACAGAGCAGAAAGCCACAAGGAATCTCTGGAAAATCTGGGCCCCCCATTCTGCCAGCAAAGTGGAGTAGGCTTGTTCTTTCCCTGAGGGGTCAGAGCTGTTGGGAGAGCAGGGTCTGGGGGGTAGCCATCAGAGAGAGACTGTGGGAGTGTATTAGTCACCTCTGGCTGCTGAAACATACAACCACGAACTTGACAACTCAACCTAGAAATGCATTCTCTCGAAGTTCCGGAGGGCCGAAGTCCAAAAGAGGCATCACTGGGCCGAGATCAAGGTGTCCGGTGGGCTGCAGTCCCTCCAAAATACTCAAGAGGAGAGTCAGTTCTCTGCCTCTCCCAGCTTCTGGTGGCTGCTGGCTTTCCAGGGTTCCCGGAGGCCCCATCCCATCCTCACAGCCATTTTCATGTGGCCTCTCCTGTGTGTGTGTTCCCTCTGACCATGTCTCAGGAGCACACTGTGATGGCAATTAAGATCCGGGTTAGACAATTCAGAAAAATCTCTGCATCTCGAGATCTTTAGCTTCCTCACGTCTTCAAAACTTTTATCACGTGGGGTCACATTCACAGGTTCCGAGGACAGGGGGCACCATTCCATTCTGCCCACGCCAGGTCAGGGGAGAAGAGGCTGGAGGTTACAGGTTGGCTGGGGTTTGGCCAGGTATCTTGGAATACTCATGGATTTGCTGACTCAGCAAATGCAGGAGAGTTAGTGAGTGACGGAGGGAGGAGGAAAGGGTCCACACTGGAGAGGTCCTGGTGGGGAGAAACAAAGGCTCCTGCCAAGAGCCAGCCCCGATTTGCTGGCCACATGAGTAAGCCTCCTTGCAAATGGGACTGTGCAACTGTCGAGCCTTGGGGTGACTTCAGCCCTGGCCTGAACCTCATTGCTCTCAACGATGTTGCGTTTTTCTGGTTTTACATACCCGGAACTTAATTTAGGAAAGCTGCAGAGAGCTAAGCGTCCATCACCTACCACTGTCTTCCCCGCTCAGGCATGACTAGCCAGACACCACGTTTCCCTGTGACTGCAGGTGCCCCTAGGGAGATACAGATGTGGGGTGACATGGCATCAGGTGGAATGTCCCTAGGAGATGCTCATGCTTGCGCGGGACACGGTAATTCTGGGCATGCTAAAAATCTGGAAGATGAACTCCCGACTTCTGCTTAGATGCCGCGCCCCTCCCAACTCCAGCTGGCAGATTTGCCACATGTGGCATCTCCCCCTGAACAGCTTTTAAGATAATACGTGACATTCACTGCCAGATGG